ATAACAAATACTGAACTTCATGAAGCGTTAACGTGCGCTATTCGCTCAACACAAACTATTTACTTTAAGGGTTTAGTTAAACTTATGCAGTCGAAAAACAAACCTATTGTGCCTAGATCTATTGCRCAATTGGTACCCTTCGTCGATACTGAGGGAGTCATTCGAGTTAGTGGTAGATTACGGAATGCCGAAATTAACGTTCATCAACAATACCCTGTATTATTGCCGAAGAAATGTGCGTTAACTAATATTTTAATTCGGCACTTCCATCTCATGTATCTTCACGCGGGTCCGCAATTAGTGTCGTCACTGATTGCTCAAACGTATTGGATTTTGTCCAGCCGATCCGCTATACGCCATATCATATTCAAATGCGTCGTGTGTGCTCGACATCGAGCCACCGCGCCACAACCAATTATGGCCGCGTTACCGTCGTTCCGTGTTCGCCCGTGCCGTCCGTTCAGCAACGTCGGTGTCGACTTCGCTGGTCCATTCCAAGTAAAAGAATCTCGTCGTAAAAATGCTAAATCGATAAAATGTTATCTTGCGGTATTTGTATGTACTGTTATTAAATCCGTACATCTAGAAATTGTATCAGATCTATCTACAAATRCTTTTATGGCTTCTTTCAATCGATTCATTTCTCGTCGGGGTATTCCATCAAATATTTATTCGGACTGCGGGACCAACTTTCAAGGCGCCAACCGAGAACTACACGAAATGTTAACGACCACAGCCAGTCGGCAAACTACACTGTTGCCGTGTAAATGGCACTTCAACCCTCCCGCRGCTCCTCACTTTGGTGGTATTTGGGAGGCTGCAGTCAAATCCGCTAAATACCACTTAAAGCGAGTTATTGGTGTCCAAACGCTTACATTCGAAGAAATGTCTACCCTATCCACGCAAATCGAGGCCATTCTTAATTCAAGACCTCTGACCGTTTTATCGTCCGACCCAAATGATTTACGCCCACTGACACCGGGCCATTTTTTAATAGGACAACCGTTAGTAGCGTTACCATCCCGCGATTTTACATCAATACCGATAAATCGATTAACTCGCTGGGAATTGATCAGGMAATGCACCCAATCCTTTTGGAATCGGTGGTCGTCGGAATATTTATCTTCACTACAGCGACGTACAAAATGGACGCGACAACAACCAAATGTTATAGTTGGGGACATTGTAATAATAMATTTGCCTCATAAGGCACCAACGTATTGGCCTTTGGGACGTGTAAAAGAAGTTCACCCCGGTACCGATGGCATAGTCCGA